TGCCTCCTCTGACCTTCCAGAGAAAGCAGTCCTGCCTATGTGCAGGCCATCCTCAATGTGAGGCTGTCCAGCATCATCAGAAAGACCAGGCCCCTACTTTGTAGACCCTAGTCCCCCAATATGGGACTGTCCAGCCCTGGCTGATCTCAGTAAAATCTGAACCACATTTGCTCTGTGTCCTGTTGCCTGTGGCTCTCAGAACTGCGTTGACTTGCTTGGGTGGTCATGAAGGGACCAGCTCCCCATTTTGGCAGCCATAACAGCCGAACACGTATTTGTCTGACCTTGTCTTAGTCACTAAGGTCAGATGCCTGCCCCCTGGCAAGGAACCAATCAGAAGTTAGCTGGTGGTGGTATGCTTTATGGCTCTGGGGGTGGTTTATGGACAAGCACACAGCAATGACACGCAGAACATAGCAACCACCCTATGGGAGGGCCTATGGGCCATCACAACCAGTTGGCCAATCAACACAGGGCAAGCCCTCCAAGCCTGGAGGCACACCAATCCTGAGCCTGTGCGTACCCCTAGACACTCTCCTTACGCTGCCCTATAAAATCTCTATGCAGCTGCTTCGAACTGTCTTTGCTAGCCATCTGCCATGGCGGGGGGATGAAAGACCCAAGCTAACATGGGGGTAGCTCGTTTAACAACAATAAAGCCTCATGCCGTTTGCCTCAAGCTTTCGACTCAGCCTGGTGATTGGGGTGGCCGAGGTCCTGGGCTAAGATCCTGGAAGCCTGAGCTTTCCGGGGGTCTTACAGTCATTGTTCTGTTGCCCATAGAAGGGACAGGAGTGTGTGTGTGTGTGATCTTGGTGGTCACACAAAGTATAAGATCATTTACAGTTCTGTGCTGCCCACCCTGGGATTCCTATAGGAGGGTGCTGCTTCTGTTCTGGGGTTCCTCATTCGTTCAGCAGTCCCCATGTCTCCCCCACAGAAATGTGCAGAGATTCTGGTCTGATGGAAGCTCCATTAGGCTAAGCACCTTCTGTGGTCTTCTCCCAGAAGCTTTCCCTAAACTAGACACCTCTCCTCCTATTCTCGGGATGTTTCCCCATAAACAATCTCTACTGTTTGCAGTTTGTGTCTGGGGTATTTTACCAAACTCCATCCTAAGTTGATCAAGGGGAAGATGCAGGTCTTGTTAGACTTTTCATCTCTGGTATGTATGAGAGAGCCTGGCCCACCGTCATTACTCTTGCATTCAGAAATTGTAAAGCACTGTGCTCAGCAATGCTTGTGCCAAACTATACAGCCAGCAGTGTTTAGCACTCTGGAAATTAGCCTGAGGAGGTATAGAATGAGATGCAGAGAGTTTCCATATTCAGAGTCTCTCCCTATCCAAGGATTTAAGAGGCTCCCCAGCTGTCCTTGGAAGAGCATGGTCTTAGATGGGGCAGGCCTAGTTTGCTGGGCCGCAGCACAGCAGTGTGTGATCAGCCGTGCCATGGTATTTTGTATCAGCTCATACACAAAGGAGCTGGACTCATTGGAGAAGCATCTGCTGAAGAGGTTCCTGTGTCAGCCGCTAGACCATAGATTCTGACCTTGGTCAGCACGGCCTGTAACAGGAAGTAGATTTGGAGGAGGTCCCTTCTGGACGTTGTTCACATGCCAACTGCCAGAAGTTACCTGCAGCTATTAAGAAACTAAGGACTGCAGGCAACTTGTGAGAGTTATTGTGAAATAAATGAGTCATTAAAAATATGGAACTATACTTGTGTGATGGGGTACGCCTTTCATCCCAGCACTCACAAGGCAGAGGCAGGGGAATCTGTGTGAGTTTAAGGCCAGATTTGTCTACATAATGAATTCTAAGCCAGGTTGGGCTGCATAGAGTGATTTGGTCTCTTGGTATCAACCAATCAATCAATCAATCAATAAAAAAACTAGTAATGTCAAAGCCCAGAGATGCTCAAAATTTGTGAAATTTGTAAGATCAAAATTAGTTAGGCTATAGGTTCATTAAACTTTAGAGATAAATAAAATTTAAAAAGGAAACAGCATTAGGTTATAAGGCAGTAGTATAACATTTACCCACCATGTACAAGAACTTCAAAGAAATAAAGTTAAATAAAATGAAAAAAAGCAATGGAAGTTAGAAGTGATAGTATAATAAAAGTTAAGTAGAAAGAATACAACATTAATCCAGACTGCAGTACATTGAGGATTTAAAACAGACTTATAAACACTTCCCACACAGACTAATATTGTGGGTGGACTAGCAATATAGTGTCCTTCACATACTTCATCTCTGCCTTGTTCCAGTAGAAGCAGCCATAGGCCGTGCATAATGAGTAGTTAGAGCTGAGTCCAGCATATCTTTCTTTACAAACACAGATGGTCACCACCACAATGAGAAGCAAACATGACCATTCAAAAGTGGACAAGACTTGAACAGCTATTTCTCTATAAAAAGATATGCAAATGCCAGGAAGCATTTGGAAAATCACGAATCGTTGATTAGAGAAAGGCACAGCTAAACTGCAATGAGGTTAATTCAAAAAATAAATATTTGTTGAGGGTGTGGAGGCATTAATGTCTTTCCCATCATTGGTGGGAATGTATAAGTGTGGTTCCTCAAAAGATTAAAAATACAGAAATATAGAACAAGATGCCCACTTAGTGTGACTCCAGTAGTCCTCCCTGAAGACAGACCTGGTGTAATACAGCTTAAAATGGAAGCTTTAGCTAGCTGTCCCACGGTGGGTGAGGGACAAATGGCAGGTGGGAGACAGACAGAGACCTATAGACATGACTTATGTGGAAAGTTTATTGGGGGAAGGTAAGGGAGTAAGAAGGGAAGAGAGAAGAGAGAGACAAAGAGATAGAGACAGCTGCTTCCTCACAGAAAAGACAAAAAGAGAGAAGTGGGCTCAGTTTTCTCTTAAAGGGACCTCTGCACTTGCCTACAGAGCCAGGGTATTGCTTTGCAAGGTTCCCAAGGGGTGGGGCTAGGTTTGCCTGAATTGTTACAGTACCTGTTGACAGGATTACACTGTTCACAGAGCTAAGAAAGTCAGATGAACCATGGACATATCCATAATCTCAACACTTGGGAAGCTGAGGCAGAAATATCCTAAGTTCTGAGCAAGTTGAACTGCATAACAAGACTCTGTCCACCTCCTCATCCCCAGTCCCTGCCAAAATATTCAATCCAGGTGAGATGTCATTGTGACTGGTTTTCTTATATGAAAAAGAAAAGACACATTGAAAAAGACAGGAAGGGTAGTGTTGCCATTGCCTGCCTTCCCGAAGCTCCGGGAGAGAAAAGTACTAGGATTTAGATTTAAAACCAGTCCTCAGCAGACTTGCCTACCCCTGCCTCAAGACCAGATTCTGCAGACTGAGCCACTAGAACTGTATTAGCTAAGCACAGAGGGAAGCAATACTCTATTTTCTGGGGAGCAGAGTATAAAATACTATATGGCTCTTCCCTAGAGCTTGATGCTGGACCTCTTCTGATGAGTCCTAGAAGCAGACAAAAGCTGTAGGTCCCTAGCCCAGGCCATAGCTCCCAGACAGATCTTCTATGTCCACTCTGGCTCCAGGCAGAGATCTGTGTTCTGGTGACACTACCTGTGTCATTGGTAGTCTCAGAGTGGCCCTAAAGCAACCCCCTCCCTAAGAGTGTGCAGATCACTGCTCAGGTTAAACTGTGGTACAAACCAGCTTAATGTCACCCTTGGAGGTTAAGGGACTTGTCTTCACCCACATTACTCCTACTCTATGCTGTGGAGCAAGATTCCATTCTAGGGCTAGAATAGGGTAGTAAGCATAGGACTTCATCTTGGAATCAGTGCCAGGCTGGTGAAACCTAACATTAAACAGGTCCCAGTGTCCCCCATTTCAGGATAGAACTCATAAGTAGAACATCTGGAACAGCCTGTCTTTGGACTTCTATCCTGGACAGCACCACCTATGGCTGTAGAGATCTTCAGCCATCAGCTCACTTCAGCAATAGCCAGTCCATAGTGCTGTGGGCCTTGGTACTATCCCAGAGTTGTGTTCAGCAAGGTCTCAGAAGGTTGTGAACACACAGTGTGGCACAGTATTGCGGCATTGCTAGTGGCAGGTATGGTACATGAGCCAGAGTCCAGTCCATCTGTGGTCATTCTACCCAGACCCACACAGAATCTTACAGTGTCTGACTACAGGCTAGTCACTCTGAATGAGGCATCTGGTATACCCTGGCCCCAGAAAGAGGCTCATGGGGAAGGGATGTTCATTCCCAGGTCCTTTTCTAGTTCATTTGGGATAAATCTGAACTTGGATCTTTCTCCAGCAGTCTAGCAGCAACAACACATCAACAGCAACCTCCCCAAAAGCCCTGAACTTTGGTTTCTATCTATTGCCAAAATAATGGGAGTGTCTACAGGCTCAGAGAAGGCTGGGGAGAAGCAGCGTACTTTGACTTTCTGGAAATATTTACACCAACAAAGCCAGCTTTCAAACTCTAGAATAAATACATAAACCTTTAGTGTTCAGAGGCTGCCACAGAGCAGCAAGAACTTTTGGAAGTCATGATGCCACCTAATATTCAAGGTAAGATTCTAGAAACCAACCATATAGTAACTAGTATAAGGGAACTCTTGGATAGAAAATGTAAAACAGCCACTTTAAGGACATGAAATGAGCTTAAAGAGAACAAAGTGAAAGGATCCTTTAAAAGAAAAAATTTAACAGAAGTGGAAGTAATAAATTCTAAAAAAGTAATCTTTGAGCTAAAAAAGAGACAATTTTTAAATGTAATAAAAGGTATCAGTGTCAGAACAGTGCAAAGAAAAGTATTAGTGAGCTTAAGAGAACAAAGAAGATAGAAGAAAATGTATGGGGTCTTTGGGACAGCATTACAAGAGTATTTGAATTGTTGGGGTTCAAGAGGTGCTTAAAAATGACAAGGGTTTAGAACGCTTATTGAAAGAGATAGTGGCATAAAATTTCCCAAACCTGAAGAAGAACACAGATGCCCAGTATGAGGAGGTCAGAGAGCACTTATTGGGCCACTGAGATGGCTCAGGGCACTTGCTGCTAAGACTGACAACCTGAGTTCAGTCCCCCAGGCCCTACATGGTGGAAGAAGAGAAAAGACTTGTTCCCAGACAAGCAAAGCTTGAGAGAATACATCCCTCAGATTTTACCAGACTTGTCTAATCAGAAATTCCAAAGGGAGTTCTTCAAATTAAAGGAAAGACATGTTAACAAACAAAAAGAAAACACTAGAAGACTGTGCTGGCTAGTTTTATGTCAACTTTACACAAGCTAGAGTCACCAGAGAGGAGAAGCCTCAATTGAAAAAATGCCTCTATAAGATCGGGTAGACAAGCCAGTAGGTCATTTTCTTAATCAGTGATTAATGTGGGAGAACCTAGCCCATTGTGGATGGTGTCACTCCTGGACTGGTGGTCCGGGTTCTATAAGAAAGTAAGCTGAGCAAGCAATGGGGAGCAAGTCAGTAAGCAGCACCCACCCCCACCCATGGCCTGTGCTTCAGCTCCTACCTCCAGTTTCTTGCCCTGCTTGAGTTCTTGACCTCATTGCTTTTGATGATGAACTATTATTATATGGGACTGTGAGTGAAATAAACTCTTCCTCCCCAACTTGCTTTTGGTCATCATGTTTCATCATACCATAGCAACCCTGACTAAGACAAAGATAAAAACAAACAAACAAACCCCTCGATGGTAACAAGAACTACAAGGGGACTGGAGAGATGGCTCAGTGGTTAAGTACCCAGGACTTGCATTCAGTTCCCAGCACCCACATGGCTGCTCCCAACTGCCTGTCACTCAGAGGGGCTAAGAACCTCTTCTGAATTCTGTGAGCACCAGCCATGCACACAACATACATACATATATGCACTCATGCACATAAAATAAATCATTAACAACAACAATGGGTTACTCCCTTCACTCAGCCTAGGCGGAGGGACAGTCTAGCCAGCTTCTGCTGACATACCCTGCTGCCAGACATAATTCATTTACTTTTTTGCCTTTTGTTTCCAGGACCTGGTAGGGCACACATTTCAAGCAAAAAGCCAGCCTGTTCCATCTGAAGCAGATCTGCTTTCTTGACACTGTCAGTTTTAAGTCAACTCTGTCTCTTTAAATGTCCTGTCTGTTTGCTACAACTTGAGAATCAGAGATCACACCCTGGTTCTTCCTTCTTACTTTTACCTAGTCCTGTTTAATATATCTATGTGTATGTGTACATGCAGCTACTGTTTAAGAAATGTAAGCCATCTTTAACTCTATGTATGTATATCTCTTTCTAGACTAAAGAAGCAATAAGTCTCAAATATTTCTAAATTGTTATGTATTCTTATAGGATGATAAAAATTTTATTTTAAATTGATGATAAAATTTAAGGTTATAAAGATCTAGTTCAAATTAACAAAATATTTACACCACCCAGTCCTTCCTGTAAGTTGTTTACAAAGGTTAAGATCCTATTACAAAAGGGGATTTTTTTTTTCCCTCTACTTCTCTGTCCTTTATAGGCATCAATCCAACCTACTAAGTTAAAATAAATTATAGTCAGGTTAGAGGACTCTGAGTAAACCGTCCTTCCACAGCCTCTCAGCTTGGATCCATTTCTCCAGACAGCTCCTGCACTAATGTCAACGTAGCCATACTAAGTATAGATTAATTAATTACAGGGATAAGGCCTTATCTAGCCCCTTAGTGCTTACGGCAACTAACTAAAGACAAATTTTGTCTATTGAGACAGTAGACAGACAGTCCTCAAATTCTCAGAGATCCAGAGAACATGGCATTTAAAATGTTTTATGAAGAAGCTTTCCATAACAGAGAGACATGCCAACTACTGGCCCCACCCCATTTCCTCCCAGAAGACTGGTAGACACTGAAGAAACTCTACCCACAAAAGTGGTGATTCTAGCCACTGAGCAAAACTACTTTTCACCTCAACTGCTGCAATGGACTCTTCAGACTGTAGACAAGAGGACAATGGAATCGACTTTCTCCACATTGCTAAGGTCAATGGAAGGCAAGTCTTCCTAAAGCTTCTAATCCACAGGCTCAACACTATCAGCAGAAGGCAGGTGTCCATAAAGCCTCTGCCCTCAACAACTGTGGAGGACTCTGGGAGTGGCTGTCCATGTGGCCAGCTAGTAAGTCTCTGTAATTCTCTAATCATTAACTCAGGTAAAATTTTATCCTTCTCAAGAACTCTGATTCAGTTTGACAACTGGTAGATTTTAGTATAACTTCTTACCATTCCTTTGTTTAAAAAGATGTTTTAAGGTGTAAAGTTTATGTAAAAACATAAAAGCTTAAGATGTAAGAATCTAAAAATGTTTTAGGGTATAACAAAGTGACTTAAACAAATGCAAGTTATCAGAATTCTTTCTTCCTCATCATGCTACTGTTCATAGTCTTAACATTAATCAATAAAGTTTTAATAAGTTACTAATGCAACTCTGGCAGAGTACAAAACACCTAACTATACCACTATATGATAACTTCAAGTTAAAAATTAAGGTGCTTTTTATTGTGCTAAAGATGTCTGTCAGTTTTAAGAGTGTTAATGCTTTCTGCCAAATCATTTCTGACATGAATATACTGCCATTTCTACAATGCAAATTTCAGTACAGACCCTAAACAATGGAAATGCTAATGTGTCTTCTCTTCTGTTCTCTCTCTGTCTCTCTGCCTCTGTGTCTCTTTACTTCTCTTCTCTTTCCTTCACCCTTCCCTCCCCTTTTTAATAAAACTTCTCACTTTATCCGTCCCCCCACTCGGTCAACCTCATCCACCAAGGTCCTCCATGTAAGGTCCCCCTAAGCTTTATCATGACAATCAGAGGGAAGAAATGAACTGTCTGACCACCAGATGAGTTTCACACAAGTGGCTGGCCCCAAATAGCTCCAGCAGTCTTTATTTATACATCAAAAACAAGTATGTTCTTCCATACTAACAAGTTTTTCTCATCCACCGACATTAACCTTCAGCAAAGACAAATGTGACAAATATGTTTTCTCCCAACTTTTACATCAAAACATCTTTAAACCAAAAACACTTATCATTCTCTAGCTTGGCCAAATATTGAGCCAGGTACATCCTGTCTTTTCAAAACTAAAAGGTGATTGACATAAGCACACATTTTCAATAACAACAATCTCATTCAAAACATATTTACAGATACAGGCGTGATCTCTGCCTTCAATCTTGTCAACACTGAATCAGAACAGCTCCCGGGGTCTGAAGTGACAGCTGTCATCTTCAGACAAGAAACCTGAGAAGCATCAACTTCCAAAGAATTTTAGGGAAAAATATTCAAGAAAAAATTGGGGTTTTTGAGAATAATCACATTTGTCCTATGAGCGATTAATAAAGTGACTCAAAAACACCAAGAGAACCATCAATATTACCAGAGAGAAGAGAGCACGCAGGCTGCATGGTCCCAGTAGTATTCTGCACTGTTCAGAAGTTCACTGGTCCTTGCTGAATGAGACTGTCTCCATGGGTTTTTGCCTTATCTGGAGACCCATTGGACAAACTCTCATACTGGTCCAAAACTAGGCTTCACGGCTCCCAACAAGTAACCAATTCTGCGGAGATGGTTCAGTCAGTAAAGTGTTTGCCTTTCAATCATAAGGGCTAGTATTTAACCCCAGGCCCACATTACAAAAACCTAAAGGTTTACATAGGGATGGAAATGTGGGGGGTGAGCTAAAAAAAACCAAGTATGTGTAAAAAGCCTTCTGTAATTCAACTCATATGTAAGGTAGTTAAAAAATTATTTGTTGAATAATTGGAGTTTAAATGGAAGTACCCCATATGATTGGACAGTGCAGTTCCCAGAAGAAATGGTTATTGAATGAAAAATCCATTTATTTGTGGGTTATTGGCTAGGGAGGCCTAGAGGCACCCAAAACAATACTATTGTCATTCCTCTTGGTTGTTTACCTTAACTAGACTGTAAGAAAGACTCTGTAGCTGAAAACACCGCACACGTTGGTTGTAATGCACAGAGAAATCAGTTTTGAACTAAGCAGAAATTCTCCTTGCTAGCTGAATTTCAGTGAAGGAAGGTGCTGCAAAGATTGCTGGAGGAAAAAAGACATCAGTTGTCTTATCATGTGCTGGATCGTGTATGCTATCACACCTACCTGCCAGAGAAGATATACCCATTGATGCAACAGTGATGAGACTGTCTGTAGGGGTAACCAACCACTCTCTATTGGATTTGAGGCCTGCTCCACAGGAGGGAATGAATGTCAGGTGCTGTAAACATGCTCAAAATACATGGCTAGGGAAACAATAGGCCCTCAGGAGAATTTATTGATGTGGGTTTTCTAAATGGTCCTATTGTCAAACTGCCTTCTAAATATTTATATTCATACCCATAGATTTGTGCTGCTGCTAACCTCGGTCAGAAAAGCTTCTTTCTGTAGTGAGTATAGGCAGATGGAGAGAAGAATGACTGTTCAAAGTACTTAAAATAAGCAACTATGAGTGACCAGCTATTGACAGGGCATCTCTATCAAACCCTTCCCCCCACCAAGGCTCAAAGGAACATTTCATAAAAGGGACAGGGGAGGACTGCTTGGAAATGCTATGCTCTGTGCACATGAACTCACAGTAGCTGTGGGTACCTATAGAAGGCCTGAACAAGATCATGTAGATTAAAAGTTCCAGAATGTAACAGGAAGGGGCTTTGGAGACCCCAAACAAAATACAAGCTGAATCCAATAGCATGTTAAAATGATTATTCTCCTAGAGCAAGTGGGATCTATCTGAGGGATACAACCATAGGTCAATGAATACAAGTGAATATATAGGCTAGAGCACATCGAGAGAATGAACAAAACTAGGTGATCATTTCAATAGATGCAGAAAAAAGCATTAAAAAATTCAACATCCCTTTGGGACTGAAAACTCTCAATAAATTAGGTATAGAAAAATGCACCCAAC